CTGCTGACGTGGCGCCGGGCTTCCCCAAGAGAGGGGCGCGGCGCGGGTGGTCCCAGCGTGACCGAAACGCAACTCTTGGGGGTGCGAGGGCCCGGCTGCGGGGCGAATGCGCTCCCACGGACGGGCCGGCAGCGCTTGCGCTGGCGTGGAGCCGCCGCCGCCTTCGGAAAGGAGCGTTTGCCGTTGCGTTCGTCTTGAGGCGGCGCGGTCTTCCAGGTGCCTCTCGCGGCACATACCGAAAGAGGGTCCCAAGAGGACATGGCCTTGTGTAAGGCCACCTGAAACCGCTCCAGTGCGTGCAGTCATTAAACGGATTTATCTGGAAGGTTAAAACCGCTGGGCTTCAGTCTGCTTCTCAGACATGGTGGTAGCTTTAAAAGACACCATTATTTTAAGTAGATGTTGAAATAAACCATGCTAGTTGTTAAAACAGACTCTGAAAACGGCTTCCTCCCGACCTCTGTCTCATTGGCCGTGACAGAACCTTTTGCTGAAGCATTCTACCATCTGTTGTGTGTGAGGTCAGTGTTCACCTTGGAGTAGTTTCCACCTTTCACTGCATAACTTTTTAAAAATACTTTTTGTAAACAACACCAGAGACCTAAAATTCTGCTGACACTTCCAAAGCTATTTCTCCTGTTTATGAATATGTCCATCAATGTTCCAATTCGCAATGCACATGGGAATCATTGTCTTGCAGGGCACCAACGAATGCGGTGAACCTGTGCCCAGATGCAAAATGCAGGGCTGATGGCCTAATTTGGATTGTTCTTCTGTTGAATCCTCCTCTCTGTCTTCTTCCCTCTTTTTTTTTGTCTGCACTTTGGAAATCTTTCTGAAGAAGTTATTTTGCTGGGATAACACAGAGGCCATTATGTGGTTCCTGTCAGTATTGAAATGGTGAAGATGTATGACTGCAACCTACAGAACTGTCAAACTACAACTTAATTCATTCCAATCACTTTCAAGAGTCTGTAGTTCTTTTAGCCAGCTTTATTTTGTGTATTAGTGGCAATAGAACTATTCCCGTTGTATATTATTTTAATTCTGCTGAAAGCAAAAGAAGCAGAAAAACAGATAGCCAAACACTTCCTTGAAAATCGAAAGCACCAAGAACATGAAAGTGAAATAATTATAAAACAGAAGTGGAACCAAGACTCAGTGTCCTCAGCAGTGATGATCAGGTGAATGAAGCAGAGTGGAAGCATTCACTACAAATAAAATGTTAGCATTCTTTCTCTTTGACAAACATAAGACCAATTTTCTCGCTTGCTTTCTGCTGTGCTTTAAATAACATAGAGGCAGCAGCACACCAGAGTTTCTGATGTACTCAAAAATTCTGATGGACTTGGGGAGCCCCAGAAGGAGCGGACAGCTCCTTATTTATGAATGTAGGGGCAACGATTCATAAAAAGTGGACTTTATTCCCCCGTGAGCCTCAGCTGTCAGTCCCAGTCCACTGTGCCAAGTTCTAAGGAAGCTTCTGGCCAGCTGTGAAATCACGTGGGTTCAGAGCCTACACATGACTACTTTTAGTCCTGTGCCAAGCCCTGTACATTAATAATATCCTTCTAAACACACCATATCAAAATGTGTATGTAATTAATACAGTGCTAAGGCATAGTACCTTTGATGGACTTATTGCTCAGTATCATCATGTTTCTTGAGCAGGCCTTTGTCAAGGAACACTGCATTTAATTTCACATGCTCTTAATGGTATAGAGCTCTCTGGAGCTTGCTCTGGGCCTGTCAGTGACCTTAACAGATGCAGGGACAAATCTCTTCACAGAATACTGTTTCACAATTGCATTAGTGTTGAAGCTTAAAAGGGGAGAGAATCCACAGGTGAGATATGTACAAATAGAAGCATTTTATAGTGAAGGCCAGATCAGAAACTGCAGAGGAGAATATGCTCCTCCATAAAATCTTGGACAATCTTATTTTAAAATTGCTAAAAAGAAGTGACTCATAGATGAAAGACGACACATCTACTTTAATGAAAGCAAGATTCTGAACATAAACATTTCTAGAAAAATAGGTAATATGCAATCTGACAGAACTTCAAACCAAAATGCTGTTTTCCTTAGCTCCTTTGTCTAGGACAGAAACAACTAAGGACATTTTTTAAGAGATGTCTTGCTCTTGAGATAAAGTATATGCATACAAGGGAGAATATTCTGCTGCAGATCTTCATAGGAAAAGTAATTGACTATGGCCTACTCCAAAACTGACAATCTGATCAGAAATATGTTTAAGACACATGTCTTCTTGGCCTTACAGACCTACCTTTATGTATTACACAGAGTAATTGCAGACAACGGATGATGTATTTAAAATATTTATTTAAAACCATAAAATGCATTCCAGAATGTCTGCCAGTCCCACATGCAAAAGTAGGCATAAGCTGAAGTCCCAGTGTTCAAAACTCTGTTTTTTCAAGGTATACTTAATACAAGAATGTCACACGGTTCCATAAGCTTTAAACCAGTGCTGAGAAGTACTGGATTGAAAGTCAGTGTGATCAGCTGAAGGCAAAAATCCCAAATTCTTCCTGAGAAAAAACAGACTTTTTTAGTTTAGTGCGTCTTGAACAAAGATTTTTAAAATATATTAGCAAGATTGTGTGATGAGGAAATAATAAGCAACATAATTTTGCATTAAGCCTCAGTTGTGTTTTAGTTTTTGTGATACACAATGGAAACAGCAATTTCATGTCCATCTTCAGTGCTGTGTAGTTTATTCTGTGCTCTTATTTTCTAGATAAAGTTTCATATGTCCCATAAAGACACAACAGTACCAATGCCGGTGGGAATTCACTGGAGAATTGTTCTTGCAAAGCACAAGTAAAAAAAAATTCTGCTGTGTCAGTGTCATATGTCAATAATCTGGGGTTTGCTTGTGAAATTTACTGGCTTAACTCCTGCCAGCTGCAAAACTGTGTTAATGGGCACATGATCCAGCCTGTTTTTATCAAGGTGCAAAAAATGAACTTCATTGCCTGGAATGGAATGAGAATATCATGTAAATAGTTGAATAAAATACTTACTTATTCAAAGACATAAGTGAATCAAAGAAGCATTCTGATTTCCTAATAGTTCTTGTACAATGCATACTAGCTCTATAGACTGCACAATACACTGTATTTTAAACAATAACAAATATTATTTCTTAAGTTACAGAAGTAAGGAACACTGAGGCATCTAACTGAATTAAATCTGCTCTAGCATGATGTTTACTAATGATGTGATGAGATGACTTTGTCATGTTGCAGCCCCCGCCCCCATGTGTTACTCCTCTACTAAGACCATATTAAATGCCTAGAATCGAATGTGAAAGCAGAATGTAGGTTAACACCATAATATTAAAAAAACTCCTCCAAACTTCAAGGCAGTTGTTCCATCAGGACTGTGGTCAGCCTTGTGCTACTTCTGTGGGAGGCAGGACTACACAATGACATTTCCACAGGTTCCTTCAGCCAGCAAAACCACACAGTTCAACACAAGACTGTCTCCTTGGGATCCACGGGGACAGCAGTTGAGGTGGTAGCATTAAAGTAAACATCTGAAGGAGATGACTGTAGCTTTCACACAAAACAAAGATGCTCACCTGGGCCTAAAATCAAAGTTCCTCCCTGCTGAGCGGGATCTCCTTGAAAATCAAAAGCTGGGCCAGTCATCGCTCTCCACACACTCTTAATGCTTCCCAGGAGCATGTTTGATTTCACATGAGGGCTCCGCACTAAACAAGACAGCAGAATACTTGTTATCTAGAAATACATAAGCAAGTAAGGAGAAAAAATTGAACAGCTGCTACGAATAGTTTAGAGTTTCTTCATTTGTTCTAACAAAATTTAACCTACAAGAGATGGTCTGGTGGGCAACTCCCTTCCTATGGACACCGTGATTATACTATTAGAAAGTTCTCATTTTGTTCTAAGTCTGAACAAGGTGAGAAAGTTATTCTTACCTGATACATTATTACCTTCACCTCTTTTCATGCCAAATATTTTATAAATTTCCCTTTGTGGATCTACATACATTTCGTGTGTATACCCAGTCAAACTGCAAAAGGTCTGCAAAATATATGTATACAAAAAAAAAAAAAAGTTGTATTTTTAAGGTTACGACAGTAATTAGGATCTACTGACAGTGGAAAAAATACCCTCTACTGCCCCCCACACCCCAGTTTAGAAACCTGTGAATTTGTCACGTTTAAATTACAGGCCAAAAATTTTTTGCCCCAAAACTTTTACTAAAATGAAGCTTCCAGTGAAATCAAGAAAAGACATTTCCTTAGGGAGCAAGTTTTTGTTATTTGTTTTATTCATGTACTAACGTTAGAACTGTGTCATGAAAAGGAATACTGTCCTCCTTTTCTGTGGTTACAAATGACTGTCTTTCCACTCAGTTCAAAATCCCTCAATGCAGACCATTAAGACACAATAGACGATAAAATGTATTTAACGACTACTGTATTTACCTTGATGTGGTGATAAGATGACTGTCCAATAACTATAAGCCTCACATTTGCTTCCTAGAACAGAACATGGGTATTGAAACTGTAAAGAGGAACTCTGTTTCTGCATGGCTTCAAAGCATTAGCAGAATTTGGTGTCCTGAGTTAATGATCACAGTGCACTGAGTTACAATTATTTGAAATTATCATCACTCACACATTTGGAGCCTGCGTTTTTGTCTATCACCCACAGTTAGCAGCTAACATTAATTTATTGAGAAATTATTTTCAAAGATAAATTAGAGATGTGTAAACTTATAAGCTTTCTGTAGCATTAGTAGTGTCATCTTTTCAACTCATTGCAACCTGCCATGATTCTGGAAGTTCAGAATTTCCACTCATTTGCACCTGCATCTAAAGAAGCAGCATGCAAGTATTGGTGCACATACAAGTACATCTGTGATTTACATATATGGATGCTCATGAATAGATATAACTTGCATCTGCATGTACTGCTGTCTTTTGCAGGTTCAACATTAGGCCTGAGTCTAAAATAGAGCCTAAAACTTAAGTTCACTTAGATGCTAGCAAAACAATTAATAAAATCGGTTGCTTTATTATTAGGGTGTAATACTTGCTTTACCCATATACAATCATGTTGCTTGATATGAAAAGAAGCTTTCCTAAAACCAGAATATTTTTACTAAGAAAGGCATGGACAGTTTTGATTCTCTGTATAAACTTATTTGAGCAGCCAGATTAAGAAAATGTCATTCTGAGTGACACTGATCAAGCAGTTTAGAAAAATCTGTCTGGAGAAGGAGACCTGCCAAAGAAATTACCCCCTTTTAGTCCCCAAGTTCCATCTAAGGCTTGCTGTCAGCAAGGAGCTGAGTCAGTGTCATCAGCTATGCTGCTGTTGGGAATAAAATATGACAGAATTTCAATCAGCAGCCTAGGAGAGACAGACTGACCTTCCACATTTAGCAGGGGATCATGTCTTGTATCTCCTACCACCCAACAAATAACCGTCCACAGCAACCCCTGCCCACTCCATTTCTTCTATCTGTCACTATGTCACTCCTGTTTGTGCAGCTGCCTGGAGAACAGGTTCACACAACTGATGGAGCTCACAAATAACCATAGAAAAAGAGACTATTTTTAAGCCAGATCAATTCTCTGATCCTGTTCCATGTACAACCATCAGTCAGCCGTACTGGCATAATGGAAAGGGCAGTAGATAGTGGTGAGGAGAAGACAGCTGCCCAGGGCACTACTAATACCAGAAGAAATGCCTGTCAGATGTTGTCTAACCGTTCAGAACACAGCAGAAAAAAACAGCACCAGCCTAATAGGGCAGGGAGAAATAATGCTGCTGCAAGAGAGCATGTAGTGCAATAAATCCTTTCCTGTGTCTGGTAGGCAGATACATTACTGCTATTATAGCAAGCAATGAAAGCGCTTTCATTTGAGGGTTTTTTTGAAGTTTGTTTTTGTTTGGGTGTTGGGTTTTTTTGGGGGGGTGGGGGGGCGGGTGGTGTATTCCTAGAAGGTTTAAGCCTCGTGCAAGCCTGCAGCGGGACATAATAAATCTTCTCAATTACAGCAACACCAGGTACATATTAAGGACAGAGTACTTACTTGTAAAAACGCCTTGGGGACTTTTGCCAGGTCTTCTACATACTCCTTACAGGTGTAACACAAAAAATTCTGCAACATAGACAGCTTGACATGTCAGAAACAGACATAATTTTATAGCAGCAAAGCACCAGATTATGATTTAGGGCACAAATAATTTTGGAGGTGATTGAGAAATGGGAACAGAAAGGATTAAAGTTCTTCGTGGTCACGAAATTCGGATTAGGATCCTGGTTTAATCCAATCTTGAACAAGGACACCGGGTTTGGGGCCTTGCTAATACTTTTGTCTCTGGATATTTTCGGGACGCAAGTGCTGGCCAGTGGGAAGTCAGGGAACACCATACTCGCTTCCCTGAACACACGGCTGAAGAACTGCTATGTCCTTTCAAGTAAACAGTGTAATTTTACCAGAGAACGGGGGTTCTCAGAAGCAGAACCGATCCGCTCTACGAGTCTCTCTGCGTAGCCCAGCCTGTGCGAGCTCCCCGCTCCCGCTCGCCGCCCCTCTCACAGGCG